AAAGACACACGTGCACAGACCTGGGTGAACTGCGCAGCTACCTTGGGTTGCAGATCACCCGGGACAGAGCACAGCGCACCATTACCCTGACTCAGTCACACATGGTGCAGCAGGTCCTTCAGCGCTTCGACTTCACGTACTCCTCGCCTCAGGCCACTCCTCTGTCTACTCGCCACTCGCTCTCAGCTCTGCCTTCGGATGAGTCCGTAGAGCCGAGTGGCCCGTACCCAGAGCTTGTTGGCTGCCTCATGTACCTGATGACCTGCACACGACCTGACCTTGCATACCCTCTTAGCATCTTGGCACGCTATGTTGCTCCTGGGAGACACCGACCAGAGCACATGGCTGCAGCGAAGAGGGTGTTGCGCTACTTGTGCAGTACGTTGGGCATGGGGCTAGTGCTTGGAGGGCGACGTCGAGTGGTCCTCACCGGTCACGCTGACGCTTCTTGGGCTGACGACCAGGCTACGCAGCGGTCGTCACAGGGTTACACCTTCAGCCTTGGCTCCGATTCTGTTTCGTGGCGGTCTACCCGCTCTTCTTATGTTCTCGGCTCCAGCTGTGAGGCTGATTTCTACGCGGGGGCCATGGCTGCACAGGAGCTACGCTGGCTCACCTACCTGCTGACTGACCTAGGAGAGCCGCCTCGTTCTCCTCTAGTTATGTACGTAGACAACAAGGCCATGCTGGCCTTGTGTCGAGAGCACAGACTGGAGCACAGAACGAAGCACATTGCTCTTCGCTACTTCCTTGCTCGTGAGCTGCAGCAGCGTGGTCAGCTGCGCCTTGCTTACGTGGCCTCTGAGGCCAACACTGCTGATATCTTTACCAAGGCACTTCCACCTTGTGATCATCAGCGCTTCTGTACGATGCTAGGTCTTGTGCCTACTTGGCCTCACTTGCTCACTTCTTGACCTTGCTTGTACTATGATCTTTCTATACCTGCACTTGCTTGTTTACCTTTATATATGATCTTGCATGTGAACTGGCCTTTTGGCCTTGCTCTTGTGCTCGGATTGTGTGGTGACGTTGTGATCCACCCTGAGCTTGCTTTGCTTTGCTTAACTGGTCTTGTGACCTCTTGTTCTCCCCCACTTTGCCTATGGGGGTGTGTCAAACTCATATGATATAGCTTGTCTAGGCGATAGTGGGGTAGACACTATGGGGTACAGTTTCCTAGGGTTTCCTACTTGTACCCAACCTTATGCTAGTTCATTCATTCCTCATTCTTTCACATGACTATAACAGAATCATGATCGACGGCCATGTGTTTTCGTCGTGTAGCGGGTATATCGAGAGAGTGATCCACAATCGATAGTATGATTGACTGTTTGTGTTATTGTGGACTCTGTTCAACTGTCAGTTGTTGGACGATGCACCTGTATTATTCTAAATGTATCGAACATTATCTGATCAACCTTTGTTGGAAGTAAAAGCGTGGTAGGTGCACTGTGGGCTTGTAACCCACCCGACAATGTAGGATCGAACAGTGTGATTTGGGGTTTGGCATCGATGGTCAATCACCCGACTGTATGGTTTGGCAGGTTTGGCATGCAAAGTTCGTCCTAGGGTGGCCGAATATTATGTATTTTCCGCGAACGTGCTCAGCACACACCATAGACGGGAATACAAAGTAGCAACTCTATGGTTTGGTACCCCAACCCCCCGACCAAATGTTTTGGGATGCACACTGCTACGCGCCGCAGCCTCTCATCCTCCCCTTGCCCTCCTTCCTCTCTCGTTGCCATGGCGCGAGGATCGCGTTCCGCCCTTCAATCCTGCCTCGCCGCGGTTCTCGCTGGCCTCGTTGCTCTCACCGCGATCATGGCTGCCACGGCCGGCCGCGTTCCAGAGCAAATATCAAGGCAAGCCGCACCGACGCAGAAAGTGGGAGACACTTGGGTGGAAATCGCAACCAAAGACGTAGAAGCATGCTTTTCCATTATGACACATTGACTTTCCCTAGGGGTTCGCCATGCCAAGACGTGTTTCAATACCCGGGGGAACTAGAGGACGAAATCAGCATTGTCATTCCGTGGGGCATAATACGCACTAGTGTATGGAGATAACTCTATCAACGGGAGCTAGACTACGGGCTAGGCACGGGTGCTCATGTGATCTCTGCGTTCGTTCCTTATTCGTTTCCTAGTGCACACACTGCTTGCTAGTTCACGGGGTAATTTTGCAAGAGTTTCACTAAGGAAAGTTGACAACAATGATAGCAACAACATTGGCATGCAAGACTATATCAGGACCTAGCAAGGCTGCTGGTCGACTTCTAGCACAGCACGGTCGACCGCGTGCCAGCAGGACTTGGTCGACCGCGTGCCAGCAGGACTTGGTCGACCGCGCTCCAGCAGAGCAAAGTCGCGGCTTGCCAACGTTGCAAGTCCACGATGTGCCAATGCTGCAGCAAGTCGGCTGCACATCGTTGCACTCGCACGACAACGATGCACCTTCTTTGCAGGTGCGCATAGCTGGTTGGTGCACGGTTCCTCATCACGTGCACAGTGCAAACACCCAGGCTGACTCCACGCCAGCGACTGCCCACCAGCCACGTCGACCTCGGGATACCACTTCCGAGGTCGGCCTCACAGAACCATCCCGACGACCTTCGCATGCTCCCGCAGAAGTCCGTCACCCAGGTTACACAGTCGACCGGGCCACCAGGGTGATGCAGACAAGTCGGCGTCCTCCCTGGTCGGCGTCCCCTCGTCGACCACTTCAGGACTAGGCCGCCGACTCCGCCAAGTCGTCGGCCACCCAAGGTTGGCGCCCTCCACCCCGGCGCCTTGCTGCATGACATCCTGCTCCTCGAAAACCTCCAGTCTCCCCTGTCAAGGTCGACGTCGGCCCCACCTTCGTCGACCACCAGGCCTGGTCGACCACCAGGTCGACCAGCAATCCTGTCAGCCGGCCACCCAAGTCGGCTGCCCCAAGTCGGCGTCACCAAGGCGACGCCCTCCGCAGGTCGACTTCCCAAGTCGACCTCCCAAACTCGGCGCCCTCCGAAGTCGGCGCCCATGCAGTGGCCCCCGTGCAAGTCGACCACTCCTGTCGACCAGCTCACCCACTGCTACAGGTCGGCTGCACTCCTACACCCGACCACAAGTTCGGCTCCGCCCAAGCGAGGACGGGGCCTTCCACAACTCTCGTTGACACTCCCCTGCCGCGTTCACGCTTGGGCCCCCAGCCCACATGGCAGCACTCCTCGGAGAATAGCTCGTCAGCGTGCACCCAACACACAGCACGCCGGTCACCGCACCAGCCATGCAAGAGGGCATGGCACCTACTGCTGTACGTCGTCGTCGCCGTCGCCAACGTCGGCCAAGCGCACCTAGCCGATTCTGACGGAGCACCGGTTGAAGGCCGGATAGTGCATCGCCTTCGTCAGAAAGTCGGCCAATTGCTCAGCTGTCGGGATATACTTCAGGGAAAACTTCTCGCGCTTCACCATGTGCTACAGCCAGGCCTGTCGCCGCTCCATGTGCTTGAGGTTGCCCATCAACCCCATGCCCTCGGCAACCGTGATTGCCGACTTGTTGTCCACCCGAAGGACGGTCGCCTTCCCGGCATCTAGCTGTCGAAAATCTGCGAGGAGGAAGCGAAGGCGACGTCCCTCCTTGCCGGCTTTCGTGGCCACCATGTACTCCGACTCGGTCAACGACAGCGTCGCGCACTCGATGCGCTGGCTCGACCAGGAGTCTGCGGCCCCTCCGTAGACAAACACGTAGCCACCCGTGCTCGTCCTTTTCTGCTTGTCGCCAGCGTCGTCGGCGTCCATGTAGCCGACCAACTCCAGCAATTCAGGTCCACCGCCGAATTCCAGGGCGGTGTCGCGGGTGTTGTCACCGAATAGATTGTTAGTTGCAATATATTCAGTTACTCGCTGGTGTAGGTGTAGTTGGGTTATTCGAAGCACTGTAGAAGTAGAGTTCGGTGCGTGGGCAGTGACGCAAAGTGGTGACCAAGGGACTTGCGAGGCGCAGGATGGGACAAATTCAAGGGCGAGCCCTGGGCAATCCGAAGGGCCAATCCTGAAGCCTAGCGGGCGGAGCCCAATGTGACTTACGGGAAACTGCATGGCACGGGGTAGAGATTCAAATAGGCTAGGAACTCACTGCTTAGTTCGTTCTCTTGTTTGTTTGCCTAATATAGCGGATATACGTTGCCGATCGATGCTGCGGCAGCTAGGTGACCAAGCCACTAGGGGCAGCCATCTTGTGGGAGGGAGAATCTCTCACAAACGAGAGGAATGAACTAAGCAATGTGGACTGCCACGAGCTGCGCTGGAAGCGAACGTATTCGCGTCGGGAAATTCCGCCGTCGCGACGGATGCGCTCATAGGAGCGGGAATGATCGCCAGGTCGCTCGCCTAAGTGAGACGCGGATCGGGCGGATCGGATGGCAGCTGGTGACGGACGGCGAGATGGAGGCGAGACCGATTTGCAGGTGAGATTGGCAACGAGGCCTCAGCCGTCAAGAAGCCGTCTTATGATCTGGCAAGAGGCCAGCGGGGCGCGGATGGAAGGCATCATGAGGATGCCGACGAACTCGCAGGAATCGGCAAACGAGGCTGACGGCGAGGAGAGAACGGAAGATGTCCCAATTGCGCGGGACGGAAGGAATGAAGGAGTTGTGGAAGAAGAACGCGATGAAAGGTGTAAGGACGCGGGGGCAAGTGGCTCGCCGGGAGGGATATGCGGAAGCGGCGTGAGGCATCGCAAGGACACGGCGGCAGATTGCTCGCCGGACGACAGGCACCAGGGAAGCGCGAGGCGCCGCGAGAGTGCGGATGCAGCTGGCGCGACGGACAAAACAGATGGGAGTGGCAAAAGGCGGCATGGCAGCGCGGATGCAGCTGGCGCGAAGGACGAAAACGAAATGGGTGGGAATGGTGCGAGGCGCCGCGGAGAAGAACGAGCGGATGCGAAAGAGGACGATCTGCGAAGCGATGGCGGAGATGTACGCGAAGAACGCGGATGTGTAATGGATGCAGATCAGTCGGCGAACAAGATGCGCGGGGGTGGCGTGCGGCGCCACGAGGACATGGCGGCAGATTGCGCACCAGAGGAGATGCGCGAGGGAAGTGCAAGGCGCTGCGGGAGCATGGATGCAGATCGTTCTGATGGCGAAATGCGCGGGAGTGGTGCGGGGCGCCGCGGGAGCGCGGATGCAGACGGTTCAACGGGCGAAATGCGCGGGAATGACGTGAGACGTTGCGGGAGCGCGGATGCAGATAGTTCGGCGGGCGAAATGCCTGAGAATGGCGCAAGGTGCCGTGGGAGCGCGGATGCATCTGTGGTAACCCTAAACCCTAAACCCTCGGGCGCGGGAGCGGGTTGGTGCAGGAACCTGTCGAAGAGGCAAGGAGGAGGCAAGAGAGAGAGATCAACAGGAGAAGGGGTGAGGAAGATCGCTGCCGGCGAGAGGTGTTCCCAGGGAAGGACTCGGGAAGAGGAAGAGAGGATCATGGGTGCCGAGGAGCAAGCGGACGAGGGAGACGCTAGGAAGGAGAGTCCCTTGAGAGGAAGGAAGGGAGGGGGAAGACGAGAAGGAGTGATCAGGAGCTGCGTGAAGAGAAGGAACATGAGTATATTGAAGAAGAGGACTATGGGTATGATCTGGAACGGTGCCGACACGGGAAGCTGGAGTGGCGGGAGAAGAAGTCATGCCCTGAAGGAAGAGAGGGGTACAGGGGAAGGCAAGAAGGGCGAAGGAAACCTGGAGCAGGGGGTGAGGGGAAGTAGGACCTGAGCGGACAGAGGAAGAGAGGTGACAAGCAGCACATGCGACGGGAGGGGATGCACGAGTATAACACAGAGAGCGGGGAAGAGGAAGAGAGTGACAGGCGAGCACGCCATGGATCAGGACAAAGGGACTTGCGAGGCGCAGGGTGGGACAAATTCAAGGGCGAGCCCTGGGCAATCCGAAGGGCCAATCCTGAAGCCTAGCGGGCGGAGCCCAATGTGACTTACAGGAAACTGCACGGCACGGGGTAGAGATTCAAATAGGCTAGGAACTCACTGCTTAGTTCATTCTCTCGTTTTTTTGCCTAATATAGTGGATATACGTTGCCGATCGATGCTACGACAGCTAGGTGACCAAGCCAATAGGGGCAGCCATCTTGTGAGAGGGAGAATCTCTCACCGGTTGTGGCTGAGACACAGCATGTAAGGTACCACAGGAACAGAGCTCAAAAGAAGAAGGGAGCGAGGGTGAGTTCAGGAAGGAGAAGGCAAGCCACGGGATGCAACAGAGGATGATTCTCCGATAGTCTTGACGAGGTAGGCGAGGCAACGGTCAACCTCGCGCTAGTGCTGGTCGCTCCTCACCGTGAGGCCGCTCCCCAGCCTTCTGAAGGCGAAGGCGATGTCCGGCCTTGTCGTCGTCGCCGCGAATTGCAGCGAGCCGACCTTCTACCCGTGTTCCTCCTCCTGCCGCTCCTGGCCTCCTCGTCGTCGAACGTCAGCTTGGCGTAGGCGTCGACCGAGACCGGCGTTTTCGGGGTGCGCCCGGTCTGCTCCTCGTCGAGGAACCACCTACGCAGCTTGTCGGCGTAGCCCTGCTAGTGCAACCACAGCTTCCTCGCCGGCTTGTCGTGCACGATCTCCAGCCCGAGGTTCTTCTGCACTGGCGAGATCTCTCACAGCTCGAAGGCAGCCTCCAGCAGCTCCTTCAGCTCCTTCAGCATCGCGGTGCTGCTGCTGGCGGCGAGCAGGTCGTCGACGTAGACCATCACCCAGCAGGCCACCTTGTCGTCGCCGACCTTGAAGTACAGTGCCTCGTCGACGTTCCTCTTCTTCCACCCGGTGCCGACCAGCACGTTGTTGAGCGCCGTGTACCACAGCAGGGGCGACTGCTTCAGCCCGTAGAGGCTCTTCAACAGCTTACACACCCGGCCGGTTCCGTCGTTGAAATAGTCCGGCTGGTACATATAGAGCACCCGGTCGAGCTTCCTCTGCAGAAAGGCGTTCTTTATGTCGAGCTGCATCAGGTTGAGGCTGAGAACGGCGATGATGCCGAGGAAGATCCTCAGCGTGATGTAGCTGCTCACCGCCGTGTACGTCTCATTGTAGTCGGTGCCATACACCTGCATGGAGCCCTTCACGACCAGCCTCGCCTTCTCGCGCCCGTCGGTGTCGTCGATGTGGTACTTCGTCGTCAGCACCCACTGGTTCTTCATGATGTTCACTCCCGGCGGGCGTTTGACCAGATCCCATGTGCCTATATTGATGAGGTTGCGGATCTCCTCCTCCATGGCGGCCTTCACCGCCGGGCCCTTCCAGCTCGCGAGCGCCTCCTTCACCGTCATCGTCGAGATGTCCCAACGGTGTTCGGGGTCGACGTGCATGTCACGGTCGGCGTGCATGTCGGGGTCGAGCTCCGACAGTTCGTCACCGTCCTCAGCGTAGTCGTATGCCAAGTCGTCGTCGTCAACGTTGTACACCGTTGTGAAGGCAGCGGGGACGAAGAAGTCGGGTGGCCTCCGAATACGGCTTGACGTCCGAGGTCTAGGCTGAGCCTCCACCACGTCACTGTTGGTGGACTCCTGGGCGTCCCCGCAATTGTTACCGGCTTCGCTGCCCTCTGCGTCCTGCTGTGTCAACGGGAGACGTTGTGAGGCCCCGTCCTCGCTTGGGCGGAGCCGACTTTGTGGTCGGGTGTGAGGGGAGCAGCCGACCTGCAGTAGTGGGCGAGCTGGTCGACGAGGGTGGTCGACTTGCACGGGGGCCACTGCAATGGCGCCGACTTCTGGGCGCCGACTTTGGGGTGGTTGACCAGGTGGTCGACCTGACCTGGTGGTCGACGAAGGAGGGGCCGACGTCGACCTCGACAAGGGAGACTCAGGACGCCGAGCAACTGGGCATCGAGTAGCAGGGCGTCGACTTGGTGACGCCGACTTTGAGTAGCCGACTAGGTGTGATCGGCTCCCTGGTGTACTGGTCGACGTGGAGCTAGTCAACCAGAAGTGTCGTCGACCTGGAGCTGGTCGACTAGGGGAGAGGTCGACCTGGTGAGGTGGACTGGAGGTGGTCGTTGACCTGGGTGGTCGACGGGCACGTGAAGATGGTGCTGGTTGACTAGGCATGGTTGCCCGGTCGACCGGGATACCCGGGCGACGTGTGCGAAGGTCGCCGGGGTGACTTCTGCGAGATCGACCACAGAAATGGTATCCCGAGGTTGACGTGGCTGGTGGGCGCAGTCGCTGGCGTGGAGTCGACCTGGGCGTCTGCGCTGTGCACGTGACGAGGAGTAGTGCACCAACCAGCTGCGCGCACCTGCAAAGCAGGTGCATCGTTGTCTTGCGGGTGCAACGCAATGCAGCCGACTTGCTGTAGCGTTGGCACACCGTGGACTTCCAACGTTGGCAAGCCGCGACTTTGCTTTGCTGGAGCGCGGTCGACCAAGTTGTGCTGGCACGCGGTCAACCATGTTGCGTTGGAAGTCGACCAGCAGCTTTGCTAGGTCTGATGTATTCTTGCATGCCAATATTGTTGCTACCATTGTTGTGAACTTTTGCTAGTGGAACTCTTGCCAAATTCCCCCGTGAATTAACAAGTAGTGCAAGCACGAGTAAACGACTAAGTGAACGAACGTAGAGATTGCACGAGCATCCATGCCTAGCCCGTAGTCTAGCTCCTGTTGATAGAGTTATCTCCGCATGGTGCGGTGAGCGTGGACGGCACACGAGTTGCCTTTCAGTCAGGTCAATGAAGTGGTCACTTACCTAAGTCGCTCGTAGGCCAGCAGCCGTGCAGTCACTAGCGTGTGCGTAGGTGACACAGAGGTGATGGACACCCTGGAGGCACAGCTGGAGGATGCGAGGAGACGCCATGAGGCCCAGGAGTACGGGGCTATCCCCTGTGCGGTCGTCGAGGCTGGACTCCGCACCATGTGGGCGACGGAGCACCCCCCTTCTCGACCAGCTTCTCCTCGACCGGTGACCAACGAGGGCGGCGTCGACGTGGGCGTCAACGCCGGTGGTGGCCAAGTCGGCAGCAATGCGGGAGGCACGTCGAGGCAGCGAGGTGTGATTCACGCTGATGAAGTCGGCGGTGTTCAAGCGCGAGGGACGCAGTCGTCGGCGACTGCTGGCTCCTCGCGAGGCGACCTCAGAGGTCGACGAAGCGGATTGTCGCTGATGTCGGTGACCCACGTGACAGCGGGCGAGATTGCACGGCTACTTCAAGTTTACGCCGGGACGGATCTTGGTCACCCCCCCACTCGTTGGTCGACCGGACATTCTCACCTAGAAGGAAGCCATCGAGCCCCAGCTGGAGATGGCCGGGCTGATCGGCTTCGCCCGTAGCACCGTGGCGACGCCAGAAGAAATCTACCCCGACTTGCAAGCGGAGTTTCGGGCCGTGCAGTTGCTGACCTTCACGGTCATCTTGCAGTGCTGCTCGTCGGGCGTGCAGATCGCCTTGAAGTCGTGCAGGGAGTACCTTGACACCGGCCACCGGGCATGGTACTTCATGGAGTCGATGTACCAGCTCACCGACGACTTGTTCGTCGCCCAGCTTGAGGGGCAGTTGACGCACCTGCGTATGGGCGACCAGGAGACTGCGATCGACTACTAAACCCTGGTCTGGCAGTCGCCGTGCTCGTCGAGGAGGAAACACGCCGCGCCAGGAAAAGCAGTCGACCAAGTCGACCTCGGCGAAGGACGCTGACTCTTCTACTGGCCGCAAAGGGCGAGACGACAAGGAGGCCTTGTGCTCGCTGGTCGGCGTGGTGGAGCCGACCGTCTCGCTGGCGTTGGAGGTTGGCGAGGACATCCAGGCGATGGCGGCAGCTGTGAAGGAGAACCCTTCGGTGGTTCTGCTCGACAGCAGCTGCTCCCTCCACCTGATTGGGATGAAGGAGGTCTTCGTCGACCTGCAGAGCGGCGACGTCAAGCACGTGCGCGGCTTCAATGGGGCACTGCAGGACGTCTAAGGCCGCGGCACTATCGCTCTGGAAGGGGAGGCCGGGAAGCAGGTGCTCATCCCCGACGTGCTCTATAGCCCGGGTGTGCGAGCGAAACTACTTTCGGCCGGGCAGCTGAAGGAGAACGGCGTGAAGCTGCAGGAGGATGGCAATATGATGCTGCTCGTCTCGGCGACGGGAGAGGTGCTCGTTGAGGCGGCGTACACCAGGCGTGTCCTCTGCACCGACCTGCGCTCCTGCTCGACCAAGCAGACGACGACCACCACGGAGGTGGTGGCCCTGCGGGCGATCGTTTCAGCGATAAAGGCACCGCCGGACAGGCTGCACGCGAGGCTTGCGCACGTCGGCATGGACACCATACAGAGCTCGGCGAAGCACGAGGGTGCCACCGGGCTAGACCTCAAGCCGGCGACGGGTGCCGGCTCCCCATGTGTCTCGTGCGTCGGCGGGAAGCTGGCGCGGCATACCTTCCCCGACCAGGGCTTCGACGCTGACGACGTGCTGGCTGTCATGCACATCGACTTGCGCGGGCCTTTCCGCGTGGCTGCCAAGGACGGCAGCGTGTACTTCTTGCTACTGAAGGACCGCAAGACCCGCTTCATGTGGGTGAGGCCGGTCGTAAGGAAGTCGGATGTGCTGCGGGAGTTCGTGCAGTGGCTGGCGGTAGCTGAGCGACAGACGAAGGAGTCGGTGTTGATGCTGCACTCTGACCGGGGAGGGGAGTTTCTCGGGAAGAAGTCGATGTCGAGGAGTTCCCAGCCCTTGCTCTCCTCCGACACGCCGAGATGAAGGCCCCACCTGACCTTCGGCTTCAACTTCCCACCGCGCTGCTACTCGGGGACAAGGAACTGCGCCATGCAGCCCCACACGCGCGCCAGTGAGAAGTCAGGCTTCTTCCCGGTGAGCAGCTGGTACGGCGTCGTCCCCGGAG